AATACAAATATAATATTTACAAGAAAATATTAACAAAATATACTTAGTTCATCTATTCGTTATAATCTTAGTTCAAAAGAGTTTAAATATTAATAAAATATAATATCTCTCTCAATCATTGCAGTTTATTATATTTCACATTTTTATAAATTTATATTGAAAAAGAATGAGAATTTAACTTTAATTAAAAGAATGAGGCTTCAGATACCAATGTATTGTGAAACTTAAGGAGTGGTGTGTCTAGGTTAATGAACCATGATCACACCACTGCCTAAAACTGCAAGCTTGCAGAAAAGCGCCTGGCAACGAGCAGGTGCAATAAACTAAAGTATGATTTCACCACTGTAATGTCGATTAATAAAATCGATTGACACAGGGAAATCTGGGCATTTGCCCGTGTGTCTCGGCGTGACCAAGACGGAGAGTTAGGGCTATAGTACGAAGCTCTTGTTGTTTAATTAAACTGCAGGTCTGAATAATAGACCGTAACAAAAAGATATTAAATAAGTGAACAAATAAAAGGTTAATAAAATAAAGTGAAAATAAAATAAGAAATGAAAAGTGAAATAATAAATAAAGTGCGAACATGTTACAAAATAGAGAATACTAACTAAAGGAAATAAAATAAAAAAGGAAATATATATACACATATAACAAAGGTGAGCTAAGTTGTTTTACACACTAAAATAAAATACATGCATAAAAACACATCATACATCAAAATATAGATCTTGTGTAGAATCACACACTTAAAGAGAATAAACATTGGAATATTTAAATTAAAGTAAATAAGGGAAATTTAGATAACTGTATTAGGGCTTAATGGTTATAATATATTATCATTATTTGTAAATTATTTGTTTAATTTTATTGTTATCCACAAATCAAATTCTAATTTCCTAAAAATTCCACTAATAAAAAAAGTAGAGATTCTCACCTCACTACTTAAACAATAAGTAGGAAGGAGGGGATCCACTACCAAACAGATTAAAAGGTGTCAGCTAGTACTGTGTAACATTCCTTTAAATTATTTTATTGTTAATTAATTAAATTATTAATTCAACTTTAATTCATTACAATAACTTTTATAAAAAGAGTTTTTTTTCTAAAATAGAAATTTTGTAAGCAAATTTGATTTTTCGTTTTTTTTAATTAAAAATCGATGTTCTTAAAAACGGCTCCGGCGATTATTTTAATTTTGGTTGTAAAATCATGTGTTCGCACTCCAGAATCGAAATCCGCCAACATACCTTATACTACCCTACTTAATTCCTGTGTCTTAAAAAATTCATGAAAAACAGGTTCAAAAGACACCTCTAAGGTGTCACTCCCCCTTAAAGAAAAATTTAATCAGATTGAATTAAATAAATGCGCGATTTCAGAAAATAAATGCAGCGCTATCGGCGCTGATACGGTTGTGGCCGAAAACCACGAAACACAAATTTTCAAACTAATTTTTCATTAAAAATTCAGATTTTTTTTAACAGATTAAAAAGAAACTTTAACTATAGGTGATAATAAAATAAAGTAGTATAGGAACATGATTATTCCCCAAATGTCATTAGACCTAACTCTCATTTTACCGAATTGCCTTTATCCGAACTGTTATTTTAACGAAATGTCACTTTTGTGAATCGACATTTTTACGAATTGCCACTTTTTCGGAATATTATTTTTACGAATTGTCATTTTTACGAATCGTTATTGTTCTGAAATATTATTTTTTCGAATTGTAATTTTTACGAATTGTCACTTTTGTGAATCAACATTTTTATAAATTGTCACTTTTGCGAAAAGTTATATTTTAGAATTGTCATTTTTGCGATTTGTCCTTTATGCGAACTGACATTTTTTCGAATTGTCATTTTTACGAAATGTTATTTTTGCGAATCGGCATATTTACGAATTGTCACTTTTGCATAAATTAATTTTTGCGAATTGTCATTTATGCGAACTGACATTTTTATGAAATGTCACTGTTGCGAGTTGTCATTTTTGCGAAAATTACTATAGTAAACATGTATGCATATATAGATTTACTATAGCAATTTTCGCAAAAATGACAATTCGCAACAGTCACATTTCGCAAAAATGACTATTCGTAAAAATGATATTTCGCAAAAATGACTTTTCGCAAAAGAGTCAATTCGTAAAAATGTCGATTCGCAAAAGTGCCATTTCGTTAAAATAACAGTTCGGATAAATGCAATTCGGTAAAATGACAGTTCGGTCAAATGACATTTGAAGAATAATCATGCGTCTCAAAGTAGTATTAAAAATAAATAAGCTGTGAGTAAATTATTAAAAGGTTATAGTAAAATTAATTAGTTGTAGAGATAATTATGGAAATAGTGGTGATAATAATAATAATATTGGTGGTGGTGGTAATAATAGTAATAATGATAGGAATATGGAAAACTTAATAAATGAAAAAAATACTTGATTATATTGCTACGGTAATAATAAAGTTACAATTTAATTAGACAATAATAGGTATTAATTTCAAATATTAAAAGGTATGAGATTACTCTTTCGCAAAATCAAACAAACCTTCTTTCGAGCTTTCGTTGCGCAACAACATATTTAGATGTGATCGTCTGAACGACACCATGGGAGGTGGAACAATAATTTTAAATAATAGAAATTCCATCACTGAAATGATCAAGCTGGATAGACTTTGGATGAATTACATGGAAGTAGTATATATTAAATTAAACACCGCTAGTGGAAGTATCTATGTCTTCTCTGTTTATTATCCTCCTACAGCTAGAGTAGAAGCAGAACATTGGGACGATATTCTACACCAGATTCCAAAGGATGGGCGGATAATTATAATGGGAGACTTCAACGCATATACGCCATATTTTCCTCCTTACTCACTGAATGAATGAGGAAAAAGACTTTTGGAGATTATAGAGGAAAGAAACCTAGTAATTATGAACGATGGACTTTCTACTTTCAAATCAACCACAAATAGATCGGAAAGTGTATTAGACCTTACACTGGTCTCTACAGTTAGCGGAAATGGCTCATTCAGAATTCTTCCAGGAATCATTCGGAAGTGATCATTTTCTGGTTATACTAACAATGGATCTGAGGGTAAGCGAAATATGCAATTCTTCCAGACGACTCAGATTAGAATGTGTAAATTGGAATAAATTTACAGAACTATCAAACTTATCCAACCAAGAGCGGAAAGAAAATGAAGTAAGAGATATTACATTAAAATACGAAAAATTGGTGGATCATGTAATAAGGGATTTAAAAAATGCAGGAGCTTATATTCTGAACTCTACAGGAAGAACAGCAAAAATAAAACCTTCATGGTGGACCATTGAGTTCGATGAAGCACTGGAAAAGAAAAAAGAAGCTAGAAAACAATATTTACAAAACCCTGTTGCAATGAATTTAGAAGTATATATATTGAGACGGAAAGGCAAACAATGAATAAACTACAAGAAATAAAGAAGGATTCATTTAAAAAACTCTGCAGCGCCATTATCACCTTCTATGAGAATCAAAAAAGTATTAAGCCTGGTAAGAGCGTTTCGAGGAAGAATTCGATAAATATAAACATGTCGAGTGATCCAGACTCACCGGAATTCAACGAACTCAAGGCGGAAATCATCAGGAAATATATAAGGTCCATCCAACCTCTGATAAATCCGAATATAAAAAAATCGGACAAGTGCGAGTGTAACTCGCACTAAAATCGAGGGTTCCGTACACCAAAATTAAACTCCTTTTTTATAAAAAATATATGGGGAAGAAATATGATTGATTAAAAGAAATAAATACAAATTAGGAAAGAAATACATCGATTAAATAACAATACCTCCCTTTTTAAATACAACATATATGTATATAAATCAATATTTGTGTACCGAAATTCAGCCCAATAGGTCCCGACATGCAGATGTTAAGGGGGACAGGGTGATTTTTGGGAATTTTCTTTTTAAAATAAGTTTCTTTCATTTCTAGTTCGACAGCATGACCTCCAATCAGATCCGCTTTATTTTTTCTGTACTCTACAGGTAAAACTACAAATCTGTACTAAATTTTAACTCACCATGTCCAAAAATGTAGAAGTTAAGGGTAGGAAATATTCATTTTTAACATTTTTTAGAAAAAAATTGATTTCATTCCTTTCTACTTCGCAAATATGACATCCACACAGGTTAACTAAAATTTTCCTAAAATCTACAATTGTAAATGAAAATGTGTACCGAATTTTATCTCAATAGGTGACGATATGGGCAAATCCACGAAACTGTTAACTTTTATGATACTCGAATCGAACACTTAAAATTCCGTATTATTATAGATTGAAACTTATTGTTTAATCATATTTTCCTAAATTATATACTAAGCAACATTTATGTACAGTATTAGAACAAAATATTAATTTGTCAATTAATTTTATGAGTTTAAAATTGAAAAAACGCTTAAATTTCATTTGAAACTCTCAGAAAACTATACATTTTTAACGTTTTTATTTTTGAGGCGTGTGAAATATTAATTCAGCTACAAGGAAAATAGCTAAAAGACGTATGTTTTCAAACTTTTTTCACTATCCCATTAGTGTGCTACGACTGTAAGAAAATATATGAAGGTTTGATTGAATGATGACACTTTTTAAGAAAATTTAATTAAACGTCTTCTTATGAAAATACCTAGAGCGGCGTAGAATAAAAATAAAAGTTCAATAAGTTTCTAAATAGACAATAAAAAATCGAACATTTTAAGACCTTTTTAATTAGTGTGCCTATATTTGTATTCCTGTAGAAACAATTTAAAGATGTTATTACAAATCGTGATTTTATTTAAATTTATACATTTTTGAAAGGCACAACTACAATTTTACTTTAAACAAGTCCATGTATAGTGTGATCGAAGCATTGCCTACTTTTACGCTTTCAAATTTTTTTGGAAAAATTTATTTCAAAATTAACTATAATAAACTTCGTATTCTTTCATTCAGTCTGTCCAGGTCGTGTACACTCGTGCGCATTAATGCCTTCCCTCAGGGAAGGCACTAATCTTGAGTGTTTTGCCTCCGCTCTATGTTATTTCTATGGCGTAGCGATTATTTGAGCGGAATGTGGAACAGAAATCTGACATCTCGTAAAAGAAGGTTTGTTGTTATTTTGAAACATGTGCTTCGAATATTAGTTGATTAATTATAAATATACATTAAAAGATAAAATTCTCTGTCATTGTAATAATATAAAATTGATAATTAGTAAAAATAATAATTATTAATGATCAGTTAATTATAATATTTATTTGAACGATTGTTAAAAAAATGTAAAAGTTAAAAAAACAAAGTAGTTTCACACTTTCATAGTTTATTTAATTTAATTTATTTATCTAGCTTTAAATATAAATTTAAAAAAGACAAACTTATTTTTCTTTTATATAAAAGAAAACTAATAATTTTTTTTTATTTAAAAGAGTTGAGTAATGGAAATGACAGGAGTGACTAGAAGATATTTGGCGATCACGGTCGAATGGCAGTTAATACGAGAGTAAATATTAAACTATTTTTATCATCACAAGTAAAAATTCAATCTCGGAATTTATAGGATTATAATTTATGCGATAGAGATTGCATTTTCATTAACACTGTTGTATTTTTGTGAAACGTTTTCATTGACAGTAATGCTGCAAATATTTTCAAGAAAACATTAGCATCCGATATACCATCTTTATGTTAAAGGTAATTTAATATAAATAAATCAATATAAGAATAATAATAAACAAGAATATTAACTAATAATAAATTAAAAGGAAATAAAACAAAAACAAAAAAATTGTTCTTTTGTTGTAAATAAAAAATTAATTTTCAGATAAACAATGAGTGCTGAAGAATAAATACAAGTGGCAAAAGGGTAATTAATTGGATGTTTATGGCATGGAAAAGCAGAATACAACAATGACAAGACATTATTGACAATTGCTTCTGTTCATGATATTAGTGTAATAGTGTTACCACTTTATCATTATTTTTGTGAGCATCGACAATGGTTAAAAAGTGCAGAACAAGGAAGAAGATATTCAACAAATTCACATTTCTACTTTATTATTTTACAACACGTTACATGTAACATCATTTGCCAAGATGGTCTAATATGGTAAACAATTAATATTAATTATTAATTTTTAATATGAATATTAATAATTTTTTTTACATTCAGTTAGCAAGCTGTATTTAATATATACAGGCAAACCTCGCTACGGCGGACTTCTATACGGTGGAAAATCGCCAGGTAGAAGTAGAAGGGATTATATCAGTGAGAGTTGTGACTCTCACTGATAATGCCATGAAATTCAGGGCCGAAAAGTTTCGAATTGTAATTTTTATACAGATGTTTTTTTATTGATATTATTTAATTTATGTTTGATTTATAATTTTTGTTTATTTTGTGATATATTTTATATATTATAAAAAATAAACATAAAAAGTGATAAAATAAATAGAATAACAAATCAAAGTAATTTTTAAAAAAATAATTATATATTTAAAATTTATCGCAAAAATTAAATTATTTTTTGTAAATAATAAAATTCTCCTGAGGAATTCAATTATTTTTAATACAATTTTAATCAACTTTAAAAATCAAATATTTAAAATTATTATTAACAGACACGATTATTTGAAAAAGTTGAAAAAATTCTTTGTATAATTCAATTACTTTCAAAATTTTCAATTATAACTATTAAAGAAACTCCATTATTTTAAAAAAGTTTAAAGATATTCTTCAAAAGAATTTAATTAAGATTTTTATAAATTTTAATTACATTTTTCGCGAGAATTCGATTATTTTCATAAATAATAAAATTCTGCGAAGGAATTCAATTATTCTCAAATTTTTTGACAAAATTCTTTGCAAGAATTCAATGATTGTTAATACATATTTTTAAATAAGGTTATTAATAAATTATCATAACTTCTATTTCATATATTTAAAGATCATATGATTTAAAATGGTTGACACATCCCTGAACGTTCACTCACTAATAGCATTTTAATGAACCTCTCTACGGCGGAATCGTCTAATTGCTTTCCGTCGTACCCGTCTTCGACGGGTAAAACCCGTAAACTAAAGTTTCTACCAATACATTTAACAATGTTTCTACCAATCTGGAAAATCAGAAAATAGACGAGAATTTAATTTGACCGGAAAATTAATAATTAGTTACCATTAGCTACTTTGGTAGTACTTATAATATTACTATTTGAATAGTCTCCACCCTTTAGCAAAAAATCAAAAATTATCAAAAATTCGAGAAACCGAATTTCTTAAAATTTAACATTTTTTTCTTCTCTTTTATATCATTAAGATTCATTATTATTGAACTCTTCAAAAATACTTTACTTATTCAATAGCCTCCACCCTTTTGGTAAAAAATCTAAAATTATGGAAAATTAGCAAAAATTCAAAAAACCGAATTTCTTAAACTTCAACATTTTTCCTTCTTTTTTATGGCATTTAGCTTCATAATTTTTGTGCTCTTCAAAAATACTTTACTTATTCAATAGTCTCCACTCTCCGGTAAAAAAACTAAAATTATGGAAAATTAGCAAAAATTCAAAAAACCGAATTTCCTAAAATTCAACATTTTTTCTTCTTTTTTATGGCATTTAGCTTCATTATTTTTGTGCTCTTCAGTAATACTTTACTTATTCAATAGAAATATTTAGGCTAAATAATTATTTTATTAAATTTGACTATAATTAGTACAGTTACTCGAGAGTAAAAAAAATATTAATTAGAACGGGAGATATTCAATTTTTTCAAATAATTAAAAAAATTGAAAATTTCTAAATTTTTTTTTCATGGATTGCTTCTAAATTTTCTATAGTTGAGTATTACATGTTATTTATTAACATTTTAGCATAATTTTGCAAAAAATACTACTTTATAACTAAAATGGAAATATAAAAATATTTTTCAAAAATCGAAAATTTCTAAATTTTACATTTTTTAATGGATAGCTTTTAAACTTTATATAATTGAATATTACATGTTATTTAGTCACATTTTAGCATAATTTTTCAAAAATACTTTCTTATAACGAAGATGTAAGTATAAAAATGTTTTGAATTTTTTTAACTTTTAGAGATATTTTGAGCAATGTAAAGGCAAAAGTTAAACACGGTGTTTATTTTGGTTGAAAACAATTTCCGGCTTTGTCCAAATTTTTCCTGGTTTATTCGACGGGTTTTTTTTAATAATACATTTAACAGGGTGTCTACCAACCTCTTGTTTGTGAAATTTGTAATTTTCTTATTAATGATAATAATTGAATTTCTAGAAAGAATTTTATTATAGAGTAGAATTGGGGTGAAAAAGACATTTAGGTTTTATATTAAAACTAATAAACTATTTTACCAGTTGAAGTTACACGTAACTTTTTATTCTAGTATAGAAGTGTCGATAATATTAAGTTTTTATTGGAATTTTTATTTTTGAGTTGCTCATTTTGATAACTGTAAATTAAAAGCTGGTAAATTTAACATGAAATACAATTTCAATAACAAAAGAAATATATAATATCACAAAATTCAAGAATAAAGTATTTTGCGAAAATCACAAAATATCTTTTTATCCCCATTAGGTAATGCAAAAAATGCATTAACAATGCTTTCTTACAATTCTTATAACTTATTCCATTCACAAAATCCAAAAAAGTTTTCTACAATAATTTTGAATCTTAATAAATAAATTTTAAGTATACAAATTGAAAATTAAAAAACAAGAAATTTGCATTTTGATTTTATTGCGTGAAAAGTAAAAATGTGATTTCTTCACTCAATCCTACTCTATTTGCAAACAATTACATTATTTATGAAAATAATTCCATTCTTCCGAAGGATTTTATTAAATTTTTTTAAAAAAATTGAATTGTTTCAAAGAATTTTATAAATATTTTAGAAAATAATAAATCACAGCAATTTGTTAGTTGATATGTACGTTTTTTAATTTTTGAATCTGAAATAATTTAAAAACTAATAAAAATTTCTAAATTCGAATTTTCTTAGAAATAGTTGACCAGCAATTTGTCTAAATAATATTAAATACAGAAAAAAATATTCATAAATAAAATTTGCTTAAAACGAAACTTTGTTTCTTAGTAAAATATATTTAAAAAAAGAATATTCTAAAAAGTTTTATAAAAATGTTTAAATTTTGAAAATTTAAAATTTTTAAATCTAACTTTAAGAAAAATAATTTTTTTAAGAATGTAATTACTTTTAGATTGGTGCATGCTTTAAAGGATTTGTCAACCAAATGCAGTCAACGATATCAAGAAATATGGAAAAAATCTCAATGGCTCATAACTTTATTCAAATAGTAAAATAGTCACGACGAGACGCAGTTAAAGCAATGACATTGTTAATGAAATTAACTAAGGAAAAGTAAATAATTGTAATGATACCTATTTCCGAGGACTTTATTGATGTGTCAGTTTCCTATTTACTATTAAGAAAAAGTAAAGTTTTTACTTTTATCTGATAACTGTTTACAAAAATTTGTAATTATTTATTCAAATTTATTATTTACTAAAACTATAGCAAATTTTAGGCCGAAAAAGAAATATTCAATTTATTATTACACAAATTACAAAAATTTTTTATTTTTAAATATCGCGATTTAAAATTTTCAAAAATTCACATAAAAAGTAACTAACTATTTTAATTGTTATTAATTATTTTCAAAAGATTTTATAAAATTCTTCTCAAGAATTCAATTATGTTTGGATTTTGGATAAAAATAAAAAATCAATTTGAATAAAATTTATCAATAGGATTAATTTTCCTTTTTAACGTGAATAATTTTTTTTTCAATTTCAATTTTTGTAAAAACTGTAGACAGATTCCATTGCGGTAAATCACACAGTCGTCTACTTTTACGAAATTTTAAACAATTTAAAAACTATTTAAATAAAACTTTAAAAAAAAAATATTTTCTTCACAATTTTTTATTATAATTATTAAAAAATTTTATTTTCTAAAATTTGAAATTGAAACCTTTTTAAAATGCTTCTCTACACTAAATATTTTTAATAATTTTTTAGACAGTTTTTTTGAAAATTTAGTGATTGAATAAAAAATATGTTAATCTAAAATAATTCTAAAATCCATTTGTTTACAATGAAAATTCTTTATTTTCAACTAGATTTAAATAAAATACAATCTTCAGCTGATAAAAATTAAACAAGTCTTCTGGTATTGAGAAAAAACATTTTACAAAAATGACATATTCAAATTTGCCAAATCATTTTTGCTGAGATACTTAATTATTATATGCGCGCATAAATCAACTATTGGCAAATTATTAACAAGCGTTTCAATTGCCATTGGCATTACTTTTGAAAATTCTTTTACGTCGTCCAATTTTTTTTGGAAAAATTTTCGGAACGGTTGTAATTGGAACAAATGGTAATTCAGCGCATTTGCAAATGCTTCATCTGGTATAATTTTCGCTGCAACACAAATTTCCATTTGAAAAAAACTTTTAACCGTAATTTTTCTGTCACTTATAATTTCTCTATCTCCGAAAAACTCTAATCGAGAAATAAGTATATTGAAAGTTTCTGAATTTGATTTCAAATTTTTCAATGTTTGCTTAAAGTCATTACTCAAGACATTTTGATAGAAGTAGAAAATAAATGCGAGTGACACTAAGTCACCGAACGACGGTTCTTGTTCACAATTTAGAAAAAATTCGATAATTTGGATGTACTCTAAAATTTCATATCGATTTCTTTTCTCCTTCTGCAATTGCATTAATGTTATGGTTATTACGGTTTCTTTCTCTTTTTCGGATAAAGCACTGACGAATATCCCTGCATCTGCTGCTGATCTTATAGAATCTACTTTTAGATTTTCCATCACCATCCACTGCATCAATGTGAAGCCGTCAATACAGATACCTATATCCTGCCAGTACGTCGCCATGAGTGTTCGAATTTTTTCTATACAAAATTCTTCGTGTATTATTTTACGTGCAGCCAATGTGATATATTTGTAATTCGCATCATCATCATTATATATCAAAAATTTATCAATGTCAAATGGATTGTTGGTAGCTGCCAACTCCAAAATTTGTCGCACCACAGCATTATCGTCGTCATAACTCAAACTCATTTTTTTCTTCCTGCAAAAATTATAAAATACTATACAATTCTTATGTATCTAAATTGTTTAAAAATTTTATTAGAATTTAAAAGAAAGATTAAAATTAAAATAGAATCAGGGTTGTCACAAGGTAAGGGAAATCAAGGATAAGTCAGGGAATTTTATTAAAAGTACTTGGAAAATTAATAGTTTCGAAATTATAAGAAAATTCTAAATTTTTGTGTCTTTTTGTTTGCTTCATAAACTATTAAATTACCAGAAATTCTAAAAAAAACGTTATGTTTTTTAGATGTCTGAAAATAATTTATTAAATTATTTTTTTGAAAATTTTTTGTACAGTTATGTAGAAATTAATTTCAATTTTAAATATTTTAACGCTATTTTTTAAAAGAATTTTACTAAGTATCTTAAACAATATTAAAATATTAATTTTAATATTGTTATTATTATTTAATATATTATTTATTATAAATAAATAATATAAATAAATATTAAATCGTATATAAATAGTAAATAAATAACAGTGTTCATCACTATTAATAAAATTCTTCTCAAAATTTAAATATTTTCAAAAATTTTTCATAATTATTCAATAATTATCAATATTCTATTATTATATTAAAATTTACCAAAACAATTCATTAAATTATTTTAAAAATATATACAGAGTTTGACACGAGTATTCAATTATTTTATAAAATAATAAAAACTTCAAAGGAATTCCATTATGAAAAATAGAATTTGAATAATTTTTTTGGAAGAAATCAATTGTTTGCAATTTTTTATGAAATTCTTTGCCTTAAATCAATTATTTTCATAAATAATAAAACTCATTGCAAAATTTCAATTATTTTCAATACAATTTTAATTAATTTTAAGCGAATTCCTCGAAAAATGTAATTATTCTTATAAATTTTTATTAAAATTTATCTAAGGAATTCAAAATAATTAAAATGTTTAAAGATTTGTTGATAGTAATTAAATGTTTATTTAAAAATGAACTCATTGGTGAATTTAAATAACTTTAAAATTAAGGAAATTCGTTAACAAATATAATAGAATATTCCTTTGAGCATCTCATCATTTTAAGAGTGAATCGTAATATTTTTTAGTGTGAGGGGAACAGTCAAAATTTTGTCAGGAAATTAGGGTCGTCGGGAAAAAAATGAAATTTTATGACAACCCTCAGAATAGAATTGAAGTAATATAAAAATTAATTTAAATTTTGTAATTACTTACAATAAGGTAATTAAATATATTGAATCTATTCCCAGCCACCTTTTCACTTTTGCGAAAAAAGAAAATATTTTGCAAAACACTTATTTGTGGACGCGCAGAAAATCAATCATTACACAATTTACTATCATTTGTTTAGGGGACTTCATTTTTGAATCAAGGAAATTTAGAAACAAAATACAGTTTCATACTTGATATTCATTTATTTAATAACATATTGTTAAAACTAAAATTAAATTTACATATCATTTTATTTTTATCAGTGTGTATTTTTATATATTAATACATAAATGAAATCACATTTTAATTGAACTTTTATTTTATTGTTCGTTACGTTTCGTCATTAAATAAATCCATTTATTTTTATATTTCTTTTTTATCAATGATTTAAATTTATACCTCTCGTTCAAATTCAATTTTTTCGACATAGAGTATCACCGGCATATAGAGGACTAGTGTAATAGATTTGACCAATCACCATAAGTGTTCAAAAAATCCAGTAATCTGATTGGTCAATTCCGTTACACTATTTTACTTCTGACAGCTGTCAGAAGTAACATACATAACCTCAAGTCAACTCTGTCAACAACAATGTCAATTTTCTCCAACCTACCTATTGTCAATAAGAACAATTATTCTATCTTTTTCTCATAATAAATACATATATCATCTAATTATTACGAAAAGAAGCTGGAATTTTTCAATTAAATATGTGTGAAATGAACAGTTCTTGTGCCTCTTTTCAAATTTAAAAAAACCAAGTTAAGCCCTTTTTAAAATTACCTATTCAATTGCTTTTGCACTGAGGCAGAATTTCTTTAAATAAAAAGCAAATGAAAATTATTTCTTTCACTTAATAAAAATAGATATTTCCTAAATTTTAACTCTAAAAATTTCTTTTCATCAAATTTCATGATTAATTCACATACACATAAATTTTATTTTTTCACGTTGAACGATTCATGGTAAGAAAATGGACTTTTTTCAGCTTGGATTCCCTTACTAGTAAACGTAACGTTTAGAAAAGCGAGAGATCTGGAGCCTCAACGTCATGTGACAAACTGGACTTTTCTTAATCGTAAACTATAGGAAAACACAAAGTTGCAGAGTCTTCGCGAAATTATACATAAGATTCCTATAGGGACAATGACTTATCTCAAAGAATACTGTGAAAAATGTTATATTTAAGAAATGAAGCAAAATCTTATATTTACGAAAATATGTCCCACGATTTGTTCATTTTTTTACGTCAATTTGAAGTTGATTTGACGATAAAAAAGTTTTAACTTAATTGTTTGACAAATACATATGGCTCTCCATTCAAAACTAGGAAGTCTTTCGAAATCATCTAAAGGAAAAATCCAAAAGAAATAATTTAAAATGTCACATTTTATTAATTTAATTATATTTATTAGATTAACAATAAAAATTAATTTGGTTAATATTGCACAAAAAAATGAGGAAAAATCAGAAGAATATTTTGAAATTTTCACTAAATTTTGAATTTTTTACAAAATGATATGAGATAAAAATAATTTGTTTGTTACTAAACATTTGTAGTATCTTTGTTAATAAGTTCGTGTTTCCGCAATTGCCAAAAATATTATTTTTAAAAGCTTCTGGGCCAGTGACAAATTTCTATGTAGCATTGTCCAAGTACTGCGTATATTGTTTACCTTAAATCATTTTAGGTGTAATAATCGACGAGTTACAAAAATGCGAAATTCGAAATGCCAAAATCCTAATTTCAAAAGAATCAAATCGAGAGGTTATTTATTACCCTCTCTCCATTTTTAAAGTTCAGAGATTTTGATAAAATAAATCTTTTTCTAAAAATACGATTTTTAATTAATACACTAGTTTTTCACGAAGTTAATAGTTTGGTGTTATTAAGTTATCTGAAGAAAGAGAATATAAAGTGGACTTATTAAAAATTAATTTACAGTCTCCGTTACGAATAATTTCGATAAATATCAAGAATTTTATTTCAACAAGAACGAAATCAAAATTTTAAATTTCAATATTTTTGTTTCTTTCAAAAAGTTTAAACAAATAAGGATATTTTTAAATAAAAAACACGTTTTTAATATGAAAAATTAATAGCTTTTATATTCTTTGTTGACGATTACAGGGCAATTATTGGTGCATAAGGTTTTTCAGCAATCTAAACAATTGGTTTTCTGAAACAATATAAATAAAATAAATTATTAGTTTAATAATGTAACTTA